CAGATGTAGACTCCACTATGTCTGGCCCTATTAGTGCAACTTTTTTTAAAGATTCATTTATTATTTCATGTGTATGACTGTTTTTGCCTGTACGTATGTATGTGTATGTGTGTGTTTGGTATCTCTGGTGTTCAGAAGAGGGTGTCTGATCTGCTGGGACTAGAGTTACATATGGTTGTGAGCCCCATGTGGGTGCTGGGAATTTAACTAGGGCCCTCTGCAAGAGCAACAAGGCCTCTTTACCCCTGGGGCGTCGCTCTAGGTTCCTAGCAGAATCTTTCAAACTCCTATTTTTCAGTCCTGATGTAAAAGTGTTTGTAGATGGCTGTATTTGATTTATACTAAGACATTTGATTTATAATATTTTTGTAACTGGCTCTAATTTCCATTAGGTCTCTCACTCAGTCTCTTAAAACTCACACACCTACAAAAGGCTTATTTACATATCCAACAGTCAACTTTACTTGAAATCATGTACACCATTAGCTAAATTTCCCTAATGCCATTTCCTTAAAGTGAAATTTAAAAAAATTCTTACTACACATATTTCTTAGTATGTGAATAACCATTGCAGTTTTGGCAACAAAAATCTTACCATGGACACATCTGATGGCAAATACATCAGATCCAACTAAAGAAATGATAAAGAAAAAAATATGCCCTGGAATAAGACAGTGATGAATATTACCAGACTCTGATTAGGCTCACCATGCATCAAGCTTGATTTTTAAGTTGATATTTTCAATATCATCTCCCACTCAGGAGGCAATAAGAACAGGTTAGAAAAGGGAGACATTCACAGCAACCTGAGAGACCCAAACAATACCCCTGGTGAAGTTCAACAGTCCACCCTTTTCCTGCGAAGCCATTAGTTATTCCCACTACACCGTAAGTCCCTTGAAGGGACTTCAAGCAAACGTTTATCTTTATTCTTTCATATGTTTTCAACATGTTGCTTTATTATGCTATGTTTAGATAGTCCTCCTGAGAAGGAGGCCACACACACAGCCTAGTTAAACAGGGATACATATCAGGGGCCCTGGAAATGCAACTGCAGGTCACAGGAGGATACCAGTGAACACCATGCCATTTTAATAGCTGAGGAAATGTGGCCATCCTGCCTAACTTGTTTGGTGAGTTCAGGTAGGAATTGGTTTTCCAGCCAAGAGTATGATGTCAGCTTAGACCATGGCTCTGCAGGCTTGTGATTCCTGGGTCACTTAGGGGTGGCACAATTTCATGTTTATGTGACGGCTACTCCTGTGTGTACTATGGTTGTTTGGAAAAGAGTGACCCCCTTCCTGCTCCACATGACCCAGCATCTCTGCACCGTGACCTTAAAGACACCTGAAGTAATTCAGCCTCCTTGAGCCCTAGCCCTCCATGTTGAAGAATGTCTCCCTCAAAATCTCAAAATCGAGATGATGAAATTCTTTCCCTTTACACTTATGTATTTATGGGGGTAGTCAGCATGTGTCATGATACCTCCATGATATGTGGAGGCCATAGGGTATATTTTGGCTGTCTTTTCTCTCTTCCCCTTCATGGGTTCCAGGGATGGAACTCACATAGTCAGTCTATCCCCGGTACCTTGGAAGGTGACCTAGCCTTGTTAAATATGAATGGTTAAAATGAGATAACTCATGTGGGAAGTCAGTCAAAAGAATAAAACAGACAGAGCTGGGCATGGTGGCGCATGTCTTTAACCCCAGCACCCAGGAGGCAGAGGCAGGCAGATCTTTGAGTTCAAGGCCAACCTGGTCTCCAGAGTGAGTTCCAGAATAGCTAAGGCTACACAGAGAAACCCTGTCTTGAAAATAAACAAAAACAAATCAAATAAGCAAAAAGAGGGAAATGTGGACACAGTGACAGATGTTCGATGCTAACTTTCTGTCACTATAACCAAATACGTGAGGCAAATACTACACATGGCATGGGGAAAAACAGCTTCTAGAAAAAAAAACTTCTAGAAACATGTTTCTAGAAGTGACTCCAGGGCCACTGGACCCCACCAGGTGGGTGCCCATGATGCATCCTGGCTGAAGCATGCAGCGGAGTGAAGCCACTCACAGTATGGGCAGGAATCAAAGAGAGGTAGCACAGTCAATTGCGGAGGCAGCCATAACCCCGCCACCAAAAGTTCTGCTATAAGGTCTAATCTCCTTGATCTACTGCCTCCCAGTGGCACCCAGGGGGTCACACTTTTGATATGTGGGTATTTGGGGGACCACTTATCCAGGCCCCAGAACACATTTGGGAATGAACAATGTAGGAGACAGAGAGAAAAGATGTCCCTTTGTGCCAAGGAGGAGGAGATGGCACCTTCCCCCAAAGCCTTCAGAAAGGCCCAACCTTGCAGACTCCATTACTGTGAGCATCAGAGACTCTGAGACAACAAACTCCTGCTGTTTGAAGTCCACCCAAATGAGACATATTCCAGGGAGTGCCCTCCTGAACTTCTTCAACAGTAAACCCTTAGTATAAAATGCCCTGAACTGTTTTAAAACAACTAAAACAACATGGAAGGAGCCCAAAGAGCAAAGGCTCATTTCTTTATCATATGGAGCAGAACACTGGAAATATTTGGCCTTATTTCCACAAGTATTACTTCTTTACCCTGGGCAACCATTTGAATGGTTGCTTCCTGGACTTCCAATGGCAGGGGTTGGGGGATCCACAGAGCAAAAAGCATGGGGAGGGAAGAACCAATTAGGGGAGTTTGAGTCCCAAAATCTCAGTGTTTTCTGGGTAACTAGGGTGGTTCCCACACACAGATGTGGACATAGAAGAGACGTTTGTATAGATGAACTAACTTAAGAGGAGAAATCACCCCTCTGCATGAAAAATTCAGTGTAGTCAAGTCAAGTATAGGCATTGGCAAGACCAGGGAGTATCATGAGGGTAGGGCAGCTACAATCTAATGTTCTTTACCCTCACACACAAGTTTTCTCCTGCCTCTACTTTCCCTAGTTGCGGTAGAATGACCAGAACTTAGACAGGAAGATTCAACCTTCACTGAACAACTAGGAAATTCTCAAGTAAAGGACCAGCTCCAAATCCAGACTTTGAAAGGAACCGAGGAGGAGTTAGATGGCTTTAAAATTTAACAGAGAGGTGTCAAGACTCAATGGGATGCTGAATAAACCCCCTGCCCCATGGGAAATCAATTATGAAACTTCTATGGCAAGAAGTTTCTAGAAGGCCTACCAGGTTCTATCCCCCATGGTTCAGAGATTGGTTTGCCATGGCGGAATTCTGGAAGTCAGGAAGGTTGGGAGAGGAACAGGTCTGGAATCTGAGAAAAACTTGTCCCCTCACACAGACCAATAAGATGCATGCTTCATGGGCATGCTGGCCATGTGCAAGACAGCTAAACATCGGCTCAAGAAAACCAGTGGATTCATCCATTAACACTATTGAACCCCATGATGGAGAATGGATGGTATGAAAAACAGGAGCAGAGTGGGCAGTGGATATTGAAGAAGAAGCCATGCTCAAGTTAAGACAGTTGAAGCCAGATGTGTCCAGTGGAGGAAACATACAAACCCCCTCCCAAAGTAGAGGGATTTGTCTACCAGAACTACAAAGCACACCTAACTTAACAGAGCACCAGTTCATGTGAGAGTCTCCCCAAGAGGTTTTCCATTCTTCTTTCCCATGTTCTAACCCACTATAATTCAGCTACAGCAGCCAATGAGTCAGTGAGCAGGTGACTGGTGAAGCCCCACCAACATGAGCCTCCATGAGTCTGGAAAGACAATTTGCTGTTAACTCTGGAGCTGTGGGTGTGGCCTGATGTTGGGCTTGTGTACAGCTGATGCCCAGCATCTGGCTGGAGATCAGAAGTATTCAGAACAGTCTTTTTTTTTTTTATCTACATGCAAGCCTATAAGATCTGGAGCCTGATTAAGACCTACATTTGACCAAGAGATAACAATTTAAAACTGTGATTGATTTATTTCTTTGCTGAGCAGTTTGATGTCAAGTTGTCACAAGCTAAAATCATCTGAGAGGAGACTTCAATAAGAAAATGTCTCCATAAGATTCAGGCTGTATGCACACCAGTAGGGCATTTTCTTAGTGATTGATAGAGAAGGGCTCAGCCCATGGTGGGTGGTGTCATCCCTGGGCTGATGGTTCTGGGTTCTATAAGCAGGCTGAGAAGGCCATGGAGAACAAGCCAGTAAGCAATACTCCTCCATGGTCTCTAAATTATCTACTGCCTACAGGTTCCATCCCTGCTTGAGTTCCTGTCCTGACTTCCTTTGATGATGAACCATGATGTGGAAATGAAAGCTGAATAAACCCTTTCCTCCCAGTTTGCTTTGGTCAAGCAATAGTAACCTTATCACAGCAATAATAACTTTAACTGAGACAATTTCCACACTGGGCTTGTTCAAAGTGTGTTACAGAGTAAAACAGTTATGGGGAGATAAGGGTAGGCGAGAACTCACTAAGGGGTGAAGTTTAGATCTTAGAAATGGGAAGATAGTTTCTTCAGAGTATGTCATGGTAGTGTACAGAGTCCATGAAGCAAGCACCATGCTTCAGGGTGGCAGGGCAAAGGACAGGCAGTTTTAAGACACTCCACAGGGTTTGTTTTAGTCACCAGGATTAACAGATGGGTCCAGGATGCACCTGGAAAGTATAAGAGATGAGCAGAAGTCTCTTGAAGATAGGACATAGTATGTGACTGGGATAAAAGGCAGTGGTGACTCTTGCTGAGCATCCTAGAATGCATGAGGCCCCGAGATCCACTGAAACACTGCAAAAGAAAATAATGTAGGAGAAGAAAGAGGGCAGACAAACAAAAGAGGGCAGACAATGGAGAAATGGTCCACACATGGGCTCAACGAGGGATGCGAGGGTAGAAATGGAGCTGGAGACTCTCGCCTTAAGAACTTAAGACCAAAAGGCCTCGCTGAGGACACAGACGCATCCTCACATCACCGTTTACATGGCTAACTGGAGGACCCCATGGATACAGGAAGGAGTCATACCTGCCACATGTGGGAGGCTTGTCCAAGACTTCTTAGGATCCTCCAGAAGTAGATCTTGATACCACAACAGGTCAGAGTGTCTAGAAGAGAATCAGAGTCAACTTGTTTAGCTTCGTGGTCTACAAAGATGGTGTTGCAGCTGAGAAAACTTGGGTGTTCAGGGAAATACTGTTGGAAGCAATCAGCCACACATGACAGAGCAATACACTGAGAAACCCGCCTACACCGAGTACTCGCTCCGCAAAAGGGGGAAAATACAGTGAATCCCACTGCTTATTTTCAACAATTACATTGTCCATTTCAAAGAAAATGCTCCAAATAAGAGAAAATGCAGGATAAAGAAGCCTACTGGGGGATTTTGAAGTTCCTATCTGCTGTGTTTTATGTAGAAAATATCCCCCAGAGGCTCATGTGTTGGGACACCTGGTCCCCAGCTGGTAGTGCCCAGTTAGAAGACTTCGGGGCCTCTCTGGAAAAAAAAAAAAGCAGATTAATGGGAATGGACCTTGAGGTTTTTAGGCCAGACCTACTTCCCGACTGCTCTGTTTCTGGGTTGGTGAGGCGATATGACCGGCAACCATACAACCATACTGTGATGCCTCCTCAGCCAGAATGGGCTGCACCGCTCCTTAATCTCTACTTGAGGGAGACTTGGGGACAGAAAAGAGAAAAGCACTGAGTATGTATCCAAGATGCCGAATATTTACAACTTCCACATCTGTTTCTGATGAGAGAAGAAAGGCAAATGGAGGAAAAGGGACAGATTTTGATGGGAACATCACTTCTGCTGGGAGCTGGCAGACTTCTTCGATGAGATGACATCTGAGCAGAGGCTTTGCTAAAGTGAGTGAGCCAGGCAGAGAGGGCCGCTCTCTAGACACAGGGGACAGTAGGAACAAAGGCCCTGTGGTAAGAGCTGACAAGCATGTCCAGCAAAAGCCAGAGACCTCTGTAACTACACAACATAGGTCAGGAAAGGGGCAGTGGACAAATGGTTCTGGACAGAAGGTTATTGTCCTCTTCCATTATCATTTCTGTATTTGGCCACTGTCTTTCCAATTTGCTCATTTTCTCACTTATCTTGCGTTTCAGCTACTCAGCACACAAGCATTCAGGATTGCCTGAAAACATTATAAGATATGTCATCCCCTAAACTGGTGATTTAATTTGCTTTGAAGACTACTGCTTTCATGTTCATTCAACAGCTCTCATTTTCCACTAATATTTTATGATATATCTTTTCATCCATTCGTTTTCCAGCCTGCACACATTATTATATTTAACAGTTTCTTCTGTGTTGTTTTGTTTGTTCTTTAGACAAGGTTTTAGAATATGCTTCTTGCTGACCTAGCAGTCACTAGGGAGCTCAGGTGGACCTTGAACCCATAGCAACCCCCATGCTTCAGTTGCCCTGGAAACTGGTATTACAGATATGGACCACCACACCCAAATGAACAGTTAGACAGAAGTTCATTTAGATCCTGTTTGGTGGTCCATCAATGTATCTTTTAATTGTTGTGTTTAGACCATTTACCTTTAGTGTGTATATTGCAGTGTTAGGGCTTTAGGCCTGCATTTTCTTTCTGGGCTTTCCCCTCAGTTTCTCACTTCTGTATTCTTCCTGCCTTTGATTTTTATCTCTCAGTTTTAACTTAATTTTAATGCTCCTAACTTGTGGGTTTTTTAAACTACTCATGCTTAGGGGTTTCTCTAGATGTATGGCATTTTAAATTTATACCGTCATGCTAAGCTGGTGTTACCAGCTTACCAGTTTGAATGAGGTATGCTCTATTCAATAGTTCTGGTAAATACAGTAAATGAATTTCGATGTCTAGATAAATAACTATGTGCAACATGATCCTGTTTTCTACCACATAGAACAAAAGCACTTATCTACACTCCCAAGACAGACAATAGAAAGGAGGGGGTGAAAATTCTAACTGATTCAAAAACATCAAGGTATCTATCATTTGATTTATAGCACTTTGGAATAGGCAGTTTTTTAAAGAGACTAAGATCATAAGTCTGGAAAAGTCTTTGAAACTCTAGGCAAGAATTTCCACGTAGTCTGTTTATCATGTCATGAACTATCCCAACAGCCTATCACCTGCCAGGAATATAAGCAGGCTTAGCAGTTGCCCTTATCAACAATCAATTGCAGGCATACACAGCCAACTTCCAAGGTCAAGATAAGTCAACTGCAAAGCTGAGTTAGAACCAGGGTCTGACGGCACTGAGCTCCACTGAGAGGAAGAAAAAAATATTAACTTTTCTCTCCAGTGTGTTAACAGTCTGCTTGGCATTCAATTACACTTCATTTCCTTAAGGGAGGCAAAATAAGAACGTGGCAGATGGGCTACCCCAGTCATCTGCATTGGAACAGAACCAGGAAACAAGGGCTGAGAGGCACCCACTTGCCAAGAGTAGCAATAGATAACAAATAAATGGCCTGATCATCGATACTTCAGACAGGAGCCCAGAAAGGTCTCAAAAATGAAATTATGAATCTATTTCTTCTGTACAGGTGATGCCTTTCCCCACCTAGCTAGGCAACCACAGAAATGGAAATTGGATGAACCAGACCTTTATTCCAGTGTACAATTTTACTCATGTTAGATATAAAAACCTTGAGTGTGTGCAAAAGATATCGTCCTCAATTCCCAAAATATTTTCTCTGTTCCCTGATTCACTCTATGAAGAATCAGACCTCTAGTGTGGAGCTCTGAGTGACAGACTTTCCCTTTTAGTCATGAAATCTTCTATAATCCAAGCAGGGGAAAAAATTCTTGCTCATCTTCCATTTATATTCACAGTCGGATACTATAATTAAATAATAGAGTTTCATTTACTTGGGCTCAAATCCATTAGGTTTTTTTTTTTCTTATTTTCACTCATCTCTTTCCTCTGAAATGTATCCCAGGATTATTTTCACCCCTGAGCACACACATATACAGATCTGTGAATCTATAATGAGCTCTTCCTGTTTTTAGCACAGCTTTATATCTGATTAAATGCCTAAATTACCTCCACCTAGATGCTGTCTAAATATGAACAAATACTCGGTTCACACTGGGGGAAAAGAGTCAGCCTTCAACAGCTAAGAATCCAGTCACATACATGTACTGTTTACTCCTGGGAAAACACGGTTCACAAAATAACGAGAGTTTCTTGAGCTGCTATCCACAAAGGTTTAGATGTTCAAATGCCCTTGTGTTCCAGACCAGGCTGCTACAACACAGTACCAAGGAGAATCATGGATAGACACAGACAGAGCCTAGGGCCTTCCCCTCATCTAATAGGAACACATGTGCTGCCAAATATATGTATTTCCAGGATGAGGGAAATGGCCCTGGTGCTCCGAATTCCAGCAGGGAAGTCCATTACTGGGGAAAGAAACTGGAATGCTGCCACTAGACTACCCAACTAAGGCTTCAGAGCTGTCCCTGCCCAGCACAGGAACTAGACAGGACTGCTATGTTTCTAGATGTTTTTAACTAAGAACCTTGCAGACCATGTACCTCTGAAAAACCCTGTCCACACCACCTTCACCCTAGTCCTTTCCTCTTTCAGGTTTTCTCCTGGAAACCCAAGCATCCTCCAAGCATTTCCAATACAGAGGATGCAAATTATATCTCTTCCCCTCTTTTTTTGCCTCCTGGAATTGGGATAAGAAAGAGAAAAACCAGAAAAGCCAACTATGGCACCAAAGACCATCAAAACAGCTGGTGAAAGCTGACCCCATGTCTCATCAGTTAGCTGTGTATGTCCCCTCTACACATAAATACACCCTCTGCCAATTGTCACAGGCTAGCAGTAAAATATGACTTCACTAGGTAGGAAGTCAGTAGGTGGGCAGACCCAGTTTCTTCAGCGCTGTAAACTGGTCATAAGAAGACAGACTACCAATCCATTTCTTTCTGTGTTAATGAACCACGTTTGGTGGGACAATGTGTCTCCTTCCCAGCCCTCATACTACAGTGGATCAATAGAAAATACCACAGGCAAGGAGTTTGACTTAGACACCATATCATATTCTAATGCTTTTTTATCACACAGAGCCATTGCTCCTGATTAAAGGAAAACCCCAGAGAAAACATCAAACTCTAAATCAAAAAGAATTCACTTACATCCACTACTAAGCTTTATGTGAAGGAGTAGGGTCTACCATGGTAGGTCAGTGGGAAAATTGTTGGCTCTACGAGCCTGAGGGGACCTGAGCGTGGATAACTTAGCACCCATGTAAACACATCTCTAACCCTAGTGCTGGGGCAGGAAAGAGTCAGGAACCTCCTGGGGCCTCTCTGCTAGCCAGTCAGTGGTGAGCTGCAGGGTCAGGAAGAGACTGTGCCAAAAACAGGAGACATTTGATACAGGATGACACTTGGCATCAGCTCAGACATCCACACATGCAAGGGTAGACACACACACACACACACACACACACACACACACACACACACACACACGTGCGCGTGCAGAGTGGGTGGAACAACAAAAAAGACTAAATGGATAAAGGGGTAGGATCAACATACCAATCTGAGAGCTAGGCTGGCAAAGTCTGCTTCATGCTGAAAGTTCTCAGCACAAACCTTACCCAGTAACAGCAGAACCCAAGCCCCTTCCATGAATAAGACGCGATTTCCAGCCCTAACATTAGTATCACAGACAGTCTCAACCCTTGTATGAATACTAAGTCAAATTAAATATATTGTTGAGCAATGCCTGCAACGTACTTTGTGAGGCAAAACAGAAAACAAAGCCATTAAGCTCACCATAAAGAAGCTGTGATCCAAGTACTTCAAAGACGCAAAAGTCATTAGCAGAGAAAGAGGTAGATGAGGGGCAACACCAGGATGCCCAGAGCATGGGGTTACAGGAAAGCCCGGGTGTCTATGTCCATAGATCAAACAACAGCAACAACAAAATAGTACCTGGAATATAACAGAAACATTTATAGATAGCTCATCTTGGGCACCTGGAATTCTTAAAGGAAAGGACCTGAGGTATAGTGAGCCAGTGGGTGGTCTTCCCCTGGCTTTGAGGAGGCAGGAAGAACCTGAATATCAGGGCTTGCTGCAGG